TTCTAAAGCACAACTCTAATTGACCATTGCCCTGCTTAAAACTTCTCAACAATTTCTTATTGCCTACAAAGTAGTCCTAACTCTTTAGCTTGGCATTCAAGGCCCTCTATGATATGGCTTCAAAGTATGTTTTCTACTTTATTCACAACTATCCGCTTTTGCACTCTTCATTCTCATCAGGCTTAACTAATTTAAGACTGTATAGCTGTTAACATTTCACTTCAGTGCCTCTACTTATTGAATTCAACCTTAACTAGAATGTTCATTCCTTCTGTCATTTAAATTGCGGTCAGCTACAAGTCACAGAAAGCTCTTGAAACAGCTCCAGGATTGGTTAATTCAAAGACCCAGCAGATCTCTCTTCTCAACTCATTGGTCAGTATTAGGTCACATCCCCTGTGCACACATATACTGGCAAAGGAAATGTGATTACTGATGGTTTAGATTAGACTAACCAGGAATGACTCCTAAATCAAAACCTTGTAGTCAACCTTGACTTTTCATTTTCATCTCATACCCCATAGTCAATCCATAAATGAATCCTATTGGGTGTCTCTCCAAAATATATTCAGAATCTGGCTAGTTCTCACCATCTACACTACTACCACCCTATTCCTAGCAATCGTCATCTAACACCAGGATTATTTCAATAGCATCCTAACTGATCTCCCTGCTTCTGCTCTTGTCCTCCTNCACCTTAAAAATTAAATTTATGTTAAGTGGTAAGCCAGACACAGAAAGAGAAATACTGCACGTCCTCACTCATAGGTGGGTGCTAAGAAAGAAGGAAAGAAAGAAAGATAGGAAGAAAGGGAGGGAGGGAGAGAAGAGGAGGGAGAAAAAGGGAGGGAGGGAAAGAGAGAGAGAAGGAAGAAAGAAAGAAAGAAAGACCACAATAATACGTTGAATTTTCAGAAGGAGACAACAAATCTGTGGTTACCAGGGGTAGGATTGGGGTTGAGGAGAGATTGAGTAAGGGGAAAATAAATCAATTAATTATTTTAAAAAATAAACTTATTTCAGGAGAGTTCTTTTAAGAACACAAAGTTTCATTCATTAAAAAAAAAAACAGATCTACTAGAAAGACTTTGTTTTGTTTTTATAGTAATTTTAATTATGGAATGGATTTTTCACCTTCAGTGTACTGTTTCGTAGCTCATCTTTGCATTTTAGATAATCGAATATATCAGCTGTGCAAAAAATATAATGACATGTCATAGCATATTAGAAAGCCTCAGCCACCAAGGGTTGGATTAGAATAGGTGGTTCTTAACCTTTTTGAGGCCACAGGCCTTTTGGTGAAAATGAAAGCACAAATATTTTTAGGCCACCTCCTGTCCCAACCCCTGCTCTAAAACAGAGAGACAGA